TGGAGATGCAGAGGATGAAGATGATGAAGTCAGAAACTTACTACTGAGCACTCAGAAAGTGCCAGGTACTATGATAAACCCCTTACTTGCATCATCTCATTTAATCTACTCAAAGTTGCAAGGCTGTATTATAACAAGCATCCTATAGATGACAAAATAAAGGCTCATAGAGTTGCCCGAAGTTATAGAGCTAAGAGAAGGCAGAGCCAGTTTGAGTCTGATTACAAAACTCATACTTTTAACTACTGACAACACCACACTGCCCTCCATTTCAGAATCTACTCTACAGTCCAGTTGCAATGAACCCCAGCTGCCTGGAAAACATGGGATTTAAGAAAACCCACAGCTTTCTTGAGATATAATTTATATACCACGATTATATTTCATCCATTTAACCCATCCATTTAAAATGCACAATTTGGTTGGTTTTAGTGTATTCACCGAGCTTTTCAACCATCACCACAATCAATTTTAGAATACTTCATCACTTCAGAAAGAAACCCTGTACCCATTAACAGCCGCTCACCATTTCCTCCTGACTTCCTGTCCCCCTCCTCATCTCTAGGCAATCGCTAATCTACGTCTATCTCCATATATTTGCCTATTCAGGACATTCATATAAATGGAATAATATGTAAGGCTCTTTGTACCTGTCTTCTTCCACTTAGCATAATGTTTTCAAGATTTGTTCATGTTGTAGTATATATTAATATCAGTACTTTATTCCTTTTTATCCCTGAATAATATTTCATGGTATGGATATGCCACATTTGATTTGTCCGTTCACCAGTTGATAAATATTTGCATTGTTTCTACTTTCCAGCTATTATAAATAACGCTGTTATGAACATCTCTGTGCACATTTTTGCATGAACTTGTATTTTCATTTTTCTTGGGTGTGCACCTCAGGGTGGAATTGCTGGTTCGTATGGTAGCTCTATGTATGTTTAACTTTTTGAGGAACTACCAGACTGTTTTCCCAAGAGGCTGCACCATTTTACATCCCCACCAGCAGTGTATGAGGGTTCCAATTTCTCCACATCTTCAACAACACTTGTTATTCTCTTTCATTGTGATTATAGCCATTCTAGTGGGTGTGAAGTGGTTCTCATTGTGGTTTTGGTTTGCCTTTCCCTAATGGATAATGATGTTGAACATCTTTTCATGTGTTACTGTCATTTATATATCTTTGGAGAACTATCTATTTAGATCTTCTGCTCATTTTTAGATTGGGTTAAGTGTATTTTACTATTGAGTTATAAAAGTTCTTTAAACACTTTAGATACAAATTTATTAGATTTGCAAAAAATTCCTCCCATTCTATAGGTGATAGCATGGACTTTGAGCCACGGGCTGAGCAAATATTGCAAATCAGGTCAAGGACTGCAGTTAAGGTCTTATTTCCCAAACTAAGAAAGATAGTAGTGGCCTGTCTGTAGCCTGACTGGGGAAGGGAAGGAGACATCCTTTTGATGCTGAAACACTGTATATTATGACAGGGTACACTCCAGGAATAGCGCAATTAGTCAAAGGGGAAATTTATGGATTGTTTTTATTTTCCTTTGTTTTGTTTTTGTATTTCACTATTTGTGTTTTTGTTTTAATTTATTTCACTTGAAGTGGCAGGACAATGAACAACTTCAGGCACACTGTTAGTAGTGCTGCTTCATTCCTGACCTTCACACTTGTCCAAATGTTTTCTAGCACCAAATGCTTCTGTGTGCACAAGTCCATGGAATCCACGCACTGTATGTGATCCTTTAAAGGTTTTTTTTTAATGCTCTCCAATTGGGTTGTTGGAAAAGTCATGATGTATTTTTTTTCTGTTTTTCGTTGCAGAAATGCATCATGACTTTTCCGACAACCAATATTATTAATGCCAGATATCATCTGTTGAGGATTTAATCATGTAGTAGGCAGTGAGCTAAGGACTTTCCATATGAGTTAAGCCTTTTTCATTCTTTAATCCTCACATTGAATTTTCTTCTTCTGGCCCTAGGGTGTCATGGAAGTTTAGCATCAGTAACAGAAGAGCATCTGTTGTGACTTTGGGCAGATCACTTGACCTCATTAAGCCTCCTTTTCTTCTATTATTTAGAGGGAGGGAAGTAACTTCCTTGGACGATTAAATGCATTCATTACATCAGACAATATATGAAAAGAGCCTAACACAGCACTTAGATTCCTAAGCATCCTATTATTTACTGATGGGGTTGAGGCATAAATTTAGACCTGCTGTTTTCATTGACAGCACTGGCCTCTCAAAGCTATACCACCTTGAATTTGAAGAAAGATCTTCCCTCTTTGAGGCATGGCCTGCAATAGAAGAAGTAGTAAGGATTTGAGTGAAAGCAGTGTTGACTTTGCTGTCAGTCACCAGGGTACCAAAACCACAGAGGCCATCTTTAAAACAAAGGCTTAAGGGGCCACAACTGTGAACATATCAGGCAGAGTTTGGGAATCATAGTTTCTGGATGGANGTGCCTTATAGAAAAAACATGTGAAATAAGCTTTGTTCAGGCATGAGTCATAGTGCTATTGGCTATGAGTTCAATGTTAATGAATCAACAATACATGTTAAACAAAATGTCTTTTAACACAAACACATACAAGACAAGGTTATGTATCAGTCAGTTGACAAAAATACTGTGACTAGAGCCTCACAGGAACCTAACCCTGAATTTCCCCTAGGAGCAATCAATGTTTCAGTATTTGCTAATCAGTGTTTGCAGCAACTTTATAGGATGAAACTACCATGAATAAGAATTCACTGTGTGTATACATACATACATACATACATCACACATACATATATACACATACATACATGTGTATGCATATTTATATATATGTGCATGTTGTGCTTGAATTCCATTTATGTAACCCCAAGCAATACACACACACACACACACACACACACACACACACACACACACACACATTTTTTTTTTAAATCACCTAAACACATCATAATCAAACTGCTGAAAACCAAAGATATAGAGAAAATCTTGAAGGCAGCCAAATGAGTAAAAATACACTGTACACAGAGAAACAAAGATGAAAACCTTTCATCAGAAATTATGGAAACTGGAAGATAGTACTTATCTTACAAGTACTACAAGGAAAAAAAACTGGTGAAACACATTCCCAGGCAAATAAAAGCTGAGAGGATCAACCAACATTAGATATATACCTCAAGAACTTAAGGGACATTTCTCAGGCAAAGGGAATATAACACCAGACTGAGACTTGGATCTACACAAATGAAAACTCTAGAAATGCCAAAAAGACAGAAGGGAGCTGGGGAAGGAGAAAAAGGGAGAGACAGATAATATATTTTTCTCAAAAAAACCCTATACCTAACATCAGACTTAATAGTGCAAGACTGAGTGCTTTCCTCCTCGGCTCAGGAACAAGACAAGAATATCCTGTCCTCACTCCTATTCACTGTAGTAGAGGTCCTAGACAATGTAATATGACAAGAAAAAGAGATGGATGACATACAGATTATCAATGGAAAAACTAAACTGTCACCTGCAGATCACATGATTGTATATGTAAAAAATCCCCCCAAACCACTACATCTAATGAGCTCAGCAAGATCATAGGATGCAGGTTGATATACAAAAATCAATTTCCCAGTTCACATTACGTATAAAAACTACCTCAAAATGGATCAAGAACCTAAATGTAAGAGCTAAAACTAGGAAGTTCTTAGAAAAAAACAAATGTGTAAATCTTCTTGACACTGGGAAAAGCAACAATGCTCTATTTCTTGAATACAGAAACAAAACACATCAAAATTAAAAATTTGTGTTTCACAGGACACCATTAAAAATGTGAAAGACAACTCACAAAATAAGAGAAGATATGTGCCAACCATATATCTAATGAGGAACTTGTATCTAGAATAAAGAACTCTTACAACTCAGTAATAAAAACACAATGCAATTTTAAAATGGGCCAAGGACTGAAAAGACATTTCTCAAAGTAGATATACAAATGGTCAATAAGCACATGAAAAGATGCTCAACATCATTAGCCATCAGGAAAATGCAAACCAAAACCACAAAGAGGACCCATAGCCATCAGGATAGTGATAATCAAAAAGACAGATAATAATAAATGGTGGTGAGGATGTGGAAAATTGAAATCTTCATACACAGCTAATAGGAATGTAAAATTGGTGCGGCCTCTTTGGAGAACAGTCTGGCAGTTCCTCAAAAAGTTAAACACAGAGCTACNCTCATATGTGGGATCCAAACCGGGGCCCTCTGGCGTCCCAAGCCAGTTCTTAACCATCGCGCCACTCGGCCGGCCCTGTATCTATTAATTCTTATAGCAACCCTAGGGAGTTCTTTAAAACACTATTTTAGAGATTAGGAGAGGAAAATTTGAGCAAGATTAAAGAATTTTCTGAGTCACATAGCTACAATTTCCCCTAGAATCCTGGCCCTTAACCAGTATGAGAAACACTTTCACATACATAAGAAAAAGACCCGTATTTTATGACTAAAGAGACTGTACAGCATTTAAGTCAGGAAAATGTATTGAAAATAAAAATCCAGATTTTTGTACCCTATTTTATAATGTATTCAATAGCCACAATGTTAGAATGTTCATCTCATATTTTCAAAAGTAAAAATTGGAAGTGAAAAATTTTAATCCGTGAAAAATCAGTCAGGGGAGTTAAGCCCAATTAGTGGAAACAAAGGAGCCATATTAAATGCTGAAGCTCCTTTTAGGGGAGAAGACAAAAAGAATATTTTTCCTCTTATAAAATTCAAAAGTGGAAATGAGAAAGGGTGAGATGAAGAAGAAAATCAATCTTAGTACATCTTAAAAAATGATTTTTTTCAATAGGTGATAAATAGATGAATGCTGTTGTTAGCTTTACACTTGTAACTTACCTAGGTTTCTCTTGAGTGATTAGGATTTTTACTTTATTAAGAGCCTTCTTAGCCCCTGTGGCTGCAGCCAGCTTGTTATGAGCTGGGCTGGAGTGTGGGCTGGATATGTAAACTTTTTTCCCGGGGCCTGAGGGAGGCTTGGATGGAGAGAAGTCTGAGATGAACACAATACCCTCGCTGGTGAGTACTACATGGAGAAGCAAAAGGCTGATTAAAGTTTAATCAAGTTTAGCATAGTTTTTTTCCAACACAATTTTGAGAGCAAGGTAATGATAATTTTAATAATACAGAACTGGCAGTGTTATGCAGTCATAACATAATAGGAATGCTCTCCAAGTTGAAGTGAAACAGGTGGTCCATTACAATTCTTCAGAGGCCTCCAAGCTCAGCATTCTAAATTAATGTTTTATATTAAAAGGATACCAGAAGGTTACTGGCAGAAAGAACAAATGTTTGTTCTTCCATATAATTCGGTACATGGACTTTCACTAGAAACCTTTCCTCATAATATCCCATAACTTCAAAATCCAAATACTTTTCCAAATATACAATTCACAGAAAAAAAACACAACAAAAAACAAACAAACAAAAAAACATAAAGAAGAGCTCTTCATATCACACTGATCTAAATTCAAACATCTGATTTGATGATAGAAATTTTTTATGATCACCATGAGCCACCCAGCCTAAATATATTTCCTGTTTCTTCCTGAGCATCAGTCAGATTGACCCCGAGGATGTACGAAGAGTGTTCCTCTTCTCTTTATATCTGGAGTAAAAGTAGAGTGCCAACAGTGGCCCACTACCTACCACAACCACCTGCCCACTCCCATCCCCTCATCCTCCTCCATTTCCTTTCTCCGATTTTACTTTTTTATACCACCTATAACCTCTGAATATACTGAAATTTATGAATTAATTATGTTCAGACTTCAGTATCTGACTCCCTCTCACTAGAATCCACACTCGATGAACGGAGGAATCCTTGTCTTGGTTCACTGATATATTCTAGGTTCCAAAACATGCCTGGCATATAGTAAGAGCTCAAGATACATCGGATGGATAATTGAATACAAAATATTTTCTTAATAATTTAGTAAAAAAAACACGTCTAAAAACAAATCTAATTTATAGCTCAGTAAAACATCAAAAGCCCATTGGCAAAAACAACCTCTGCAAGAAAAAACTCCCTGGGGCTTCTTCTGTTTCTTACACGCGTCTGCTTATGGCACTCAAAATGCATGTCATGAATTAGAACAATTCTTTAAAAAGGAAAAGTAAATTTGGCCACAGACTAAATGCAACCATTAACTTAGGTTCTTTAAATGTTCCAGAAAAACAAATTTAATTAAGCATGAATTAGAATAGCACAGCATTCTCTCTCCCTGACTAATGTGATTCTATTCACAAATTCCACACAGTGAAGGTCTAGCTCGCTGATTTAAACTTCTAACAATCAAAATACTTGCAAACGCTAAGTTATGATTTAGTATCTGTATTAGGAGCTTAGAGATGTTTCTCCACTTTGCTCAGTTGTTTAAACATTATAGATGTATGATGCGTGTATATATCTTATGTATATAGCATTAAATATATCATAAATACCTCAAACTCATTTTTCACGAGAAACTATTACTCACAAGTTAAATGTGAGGGATCAAAAGGGTCGAAAGAAAAAGAGAGGATGTTATCTGCATAGCTCTTCTTCCACAGCTTGGTGCCCGTGTCTGCATTCCAGAGCACAATGTAATTTGGCGGGTGGATGGCCAGCAGTAAATCTCGAGAAGCATCTTGACTCCACAACCATTGAACATCTGTAAAGACCAGATAGAGGCAAAATTCAGAAATCATCCACTTCAAAACACCTGGCTAATGTGTCCTTGATATTTAGGGTTTTTTTCACATAATCCTTAAAACCTTAATTCCCCCTCCCCCCACCCAAGGTTGCATATATGTGTATATGTGTCAAGATTGCAGAGAAAAAGCTGATTTTAGATAAAAACGTCTGTAGTTTAGAATCTCAAGATCAAAATTTTCAAGTAATCTGAAATATTACTTCAAAGAAAATACAAGGCAACTAGCAGTAATCCTTACTTAAAAGTTTATGTCAAAGACTGTGCTAGCCACAATCACTAACGTGAGACTCACCTAATGATATGTGGAATTACTTAATGGGACTTGGCAGAGTGTCATTTTTTTTTCACAACAATAAACAGGATAAAGATTTAGTTCAGTATCTAGTACATAACAAGTACTCAATAAACATTTTTTAAACATTTAAAAAATTCTCAGTCAAAACAGCCACTCTGTCAAAGCCTTGAATCTAAAGAATACAATAACACAAAGATAAACAATAACATAAACAAACAAGCAAACAAATGACCTGTATAAAAATAAGAATAAAATTATGAATAGAAAGTAAGCACCAAGGACTAATACAAAACAGCAGTTCGGCTAAGTTTACTTACATTATAGCTTAGATTACAAAACTGTTTATAGCAGCTTAATTTCTCTTAGCATGCTTGACTGAGGCTGATGTTGAAATTAATGCATTTTACCAAAGCTCAAATCAGCTGAGATTTGAGGAAATATGCCCAGAAATGTATTGATAAGGATTAAAAAAAAACAACTAGATTCAGATCAGTAGAACAGACTAAACACAATCAAGAGTTAACTGGGAAGAGATGAAAATAAACGAATGGATAAAAAACTACTCTAAGAGTAAGTATATTAATATAAACACTGAGCAGCGCACAGACTTTTCTCACCCTGAATAGGTTTGGTGTGTTCTTGGATCTCACACTGAGCTACTCCTGCTGCTACATCCCAAACGATGATCTTTCCATTGACATCAGCAGAAGCTAGGCGCAAGGAATACGGTGAGCCAATGTTATGGTGATAATTTTCTCTGGCCCATTTAACCTAGTATCAAGAAGAAATCAAATCAAGTAAATACTTGCACAGGATGTCTAAATGTAACTTTCATAAAACATCAACACGAACCCATACTACATTCTACACTTATAGTACAAAAATATTTAAAAAGAATAAACAGAAAACCAGTTTCCATCTTAAAAGTCAAACATTTTTTTATTATTTATGATATTTTTTAAAAGTTGCAGTTAAAATATCACTATGTTCCTGACTTTAAAATATGGAAAATGATGCATAGCCTTAATACTCTGGGAAATTCAGGTAAAAACTCCAGCACACCATATGATGAAAAGGTAATGCTTATTGGTATACCATTTCATCATACTAATGATCAAATGTTACAATCATAAAATCTAATTATGACAGAACATCTAAAATTGCCAAGGAGAATGTTTTTCTGTATTCTGTTCTCCTAATTAAAAGGAGACAACTTAGAGCTACAAAAATCTTGCAGATAGAAAAATAGGAAAAAATAAAAGCAAACAAAAAACTCTGGCTGTCCCTCTTTCATAAAATTGGAAAAGATGTTAAGCTTTTTCTCTAAAAAAAATTTAAAAATAAAAATAAAATAAAAAATAAATGTATGTTTCATACCTCTAGCAGCATTGCAAGAAGAGAATTTTAAAAATAAAAACCATAAGATTTCCAGTGCAAATCAGATTAATCCTGAGCATCAAATACTGGTAAGCGTCAAAAATAAAGCACACATCTCTCACCCTGAGCCAAAGCCCTAAGCCTAGGCCTTTCCCAGACACTTCCCTAGCCACGATGTCCCCTCTCCTCTAGCTCAGTGTCCTGCTTGCTCTCTTCAAAGCATTTACCACACAACAATTTGTATTATTTTGTTTACTTTGATTTGACCTGTCACCAACCTAAGCTCCCTAGGGCAGGATCACGCAGGCCACTCTACAATCCTCAGGCCTTAACGCAGTGCTTAACGCAGAACTTAATTTATTAAGTTAATTAATAAACGAACTTAAACACCACGGAATCTTCAAATACTTACACATATAAACATATGTATGCAGACGAGTGTGTGTGTGTGAGTGTATGTAAACACACTATACCTAATGCTGAGGTAGGGTGGTATGCTAATCAATTCCTATAGTATTCATGAAAAAGATGGAAACAAAAAATGTTATATGGTTCAATGTGAATAAGCCTTAAGGTTCTACTATAACACATCTTTTCCTCAGGCAGCATTTTAAAAAATGAAACGTGTGTATATGCATACATGTATGAGTATATGCTTGAATATGTGTATATGCATATTTATTTTATATAACGTGTATATGTATGCAAGTAGATCCTCATTATTTGCAGATTCTGTATTTGGGAATTTGCCTCACTAAAATCTATTTGTGATTTTTATTGCAAAATCAGTAGTATTTGCAGTGGTTTTGCAGTCATTCACAGACATGTGCAGAGTAGCCAAAAATTTGAGTCACCCAACACACGTGTGCATTCGCAGCTGAGGCCCAACAAGGCGTTCATGTCTCAGCTCTCATAATGCAAACAAGTGTCTTTTCTGTGGTCTGTTTAGCTCGTTCTTTGTATTTTTGTGCTTTTTATTGATTTCACTATTTAAATGGTCCCGGCGCACAGTGCAGAAGTGCTGTCTGGTGTTTCTAAGTATAGGAAGTTGTGACGTGCCTTATAGAAAAAACATGTGAAATAAGCTTTGTTCAGGCATGAGTCATAGTGCTATTGGCTATGAGTTCAATGTTAATGAATCAACAATACATGTTAAACAAAATGTCTTTTAACACAAACACATACAAGACAAGGTTATGTATCAGTCAGTTGACAAAAATACTGTGACTAGAGCCTCACAGGAACCTAACCCTGAATTTCCCCTAGGAGCAATCAATGTTTCAGTATTTGCTAATCAGTGTTTGCAGCAACTTTATAGGATGAAACTACCATGAATAAGAATTCACTGTGTGTATACATACATACATACATACATCACACATACATATATACACATACATACATGTGTATGCATATTTATATATATGTGCATGTTGTGCTTGAATTCCATTTATGTAACCCCAAGCAATACACACACACACACACACACACACACACACACACACACACACACACATTTTTTTTTTAAATCACCTAAACACATCATAATCAAACTGCTGAAAACCAAAGATATAGAGAAAATCTTGAAGGCAGCCAAATGAGTAAAAATACACTGTACACAGAGAAACAAAGATGAAAACCTTTCATCAGAAATTATGGAAACTGGAAGATAGTACTTATCTTACAAGTACTACAAGGAAAAAAAACTGGTGAAACACATTCCCAGGCAAATAAAAGCTGAGAGAATCAACCAACATTAGATATATACCTCAAGAACTTAAGGGACATTTCTCAGGCAAAGGGAATATAACACCAGACTGAGACTTGGATCTACACAAATGAAAACTCTAGAAATGCCAAAAAGACAGANGTAGTGTTCCCCATCTCTATTGTGGAGCAGTTTCTCCAGTGAGAAGGACAGACAGTGCTGTCGATCCACCTTTGCTGTGATTCTGACAGAAAATAGGAAACATACATAGGCTTATGTGGCCTGTGTGGATATGCTGTGACTAGACAGCAACAATCTGAATGAAAGATTAACTAAATGTGTTGTGACTAAAATTGTCTGCTTAGTTTGATATGATAGTAAAACCCTATCATCGGAATAGGAGTGATTTTATTATTTTATTCCCAAGATTTGCTATTTTGTTAGTGTAAAATAGCTGTATGACCATCTGTATACTTGAATATGTTTTAATTATGCATTGAACATGACACACACACATTATAGATAGATAGATAGATAGATAGATAGATGGCTGTCCTCATACACAGCCAAAGACACAGGTTGTTTGAGCTGCCAGCCAGGTAAGCCCCAACCTGTGCTCTGCCAGGAGCCGTGGGCAGGGATGGCCACCCTGAAGTCCCATCCTGCTTACTTCAGCACATGTATGCATGGGGCTTACCTCCCGTGGCTTCAGGGATCAGCTTTTAAAGGACAGGGCTGCTGCTTGTGTACATTTCAGTATGACATGGGCCCATGAGTCTTCCTTCTCAGACTGCATCTTCACTCAAAACCTTCTCCTCACATTGGTCTCTCGGCCTCCCCCCAACTCCAGCATCAGTGTACACCAAAACATTTACTGCATTTAATAGCTTCTTTTCTTTATAACATTAGTATTTTAAATCAGCCAATCCTTTATTAGTTAAACGAAAGCATTTGAATTCCAAACCAACCCTGTTTAGTCAGTGGTGGGGACCACCAAGCCTGTGTTCTAAATGAAGGAATTAGACCTCAGAAATGATAAGTGACTTATCCAAGATCACACTTCCAACTGGTGACAGAGGCGAGCCTACACCAGGTTTCCTCACTCTAAAGCCAGGGCTCTGTCCAGGATACAGAGCTTCTCTCATGTGAGATTGAAAAGTGGTTATGAAATTCTCATAGGGGATGAAACGGGGACCAGGCGTGCACACTTTGTGCAGTCAAAACATTTTAAAGGAAAGGGACCCAGTAACGTGGAAGGCAAAGCCAACAACAGAGGGGTGACTGGCTGAATGGGCGGGAGTACTGAATTGACAGCCTACACTTGGCATCTACTTAGATTTCCTCGGGTTTTTCCTTAAACACCTTCCGCCCACTCCTTACTTCCTTGTGGATAATCGTCAGTTGGATTTATTATTTGGCTACTCTCGTTATTGATCTCTTTTTATGTCTCTGCATATTACACATAATTATTGCATTACAATGGATTAGTTGCTGCACCTTAGGACATGGTAATTGAGGTTAACTAGACTTCTAAAAACAGATTCATAAGCTGTCTCCCAGGGTCTTCCCAGTCTCCTCTTGCCTATTCTGGTCCATTGCAAGACACTTAGCCCCACATCCGTGAGACTGGTCCAGGTGGCCTGAGACTGGCCCCAGTCCCGTGCATCCACCTCAAGACACCCCTAGCCGGTTGCTCTTTTTGAAGGTGAAGTTAATGCCCAGGACTTTACAGCCAAATTAATTACCCAAGTCATACCTGACTTTGTTATATGCCAAGTTCCTCACATCTGTCTCATTTGCGTGAAGGATTTCAATAGAAAGAAGAGAAGGAAAACAGCCATTAATCTTCCTCATGGCAGAATGCAGTGGCTATAAAAGTTAATGCTCTGTAGGAATCAGGCTTAAATTTCACTTAAAATATTTTAAAAGGAAGAACTGCTAGGATTCTTGTATAATTGTACAAAGGGGTTTTCTATGAAACTTGGTGAGCTGAATAACAATGAATGCTATTTATTGAGAACCAGTAGAA